TTTGGGGTAGTCCCTCTAGTTTGGGGTAGTACCTCTAGTTTGGGGTAGTACCTCTAGTTTGGGGTAGTACCTCTAGTTTGGGGTAGTCCCTCTAGTTTGGGGTAGTCCCTCTAGTTTGGGGTAGTCCCTCTAGTTTGGTGTAGTCCCTCTAGTTTGGGGTAGTCCCTCTAGTTTGGGGTAGTACCTCTAGTTTGGGGTAGTCCCTCTAGTTTGGGGTAGTCCCTCTAGTTTGGGCACAGTCCCTCTAGTTTGGGGTAGTCCCTCTAGTTTGGGGTAGTCCCTCTAGTTTGGGGTAGTCCCTCTAGTTTGGGGTAGTACCTATTCAATGCATTTAAATTGTTTATTGGGTGGCCACAAGTAAATAGTCTGTAGAATGTTGTTTAATTCACGCAACGAAAAAAAAGCTAATCTTTTTTCATAACTACATATTCTTGACACATTTAAACTTCATAAACTCTAAGTCGCTACATTCATTCATAATCTTACTTATCAAGATTCATCCCATTCATTGTGTGATTACTTTTGACCACTTGAACATCACCACGACACTAAACAACGCCAGCAACATTTCTATCTTGACAGAGCTAACACAACGTCTGGACAGTTTGCTACTTATCCCCTCCACATACGATCAATACGAAATGTATCGAAATTTAGAAAACTTTTGAAATTACATTTATTGCATGAAAATAATTAAAGTTATTTAGCTATAATTTATTTATTTAATTATTTTATTCATTCATTCATTTATTCACTCGCTCCAAGTTGCTCACATACTTAGTTTTGTTTACAAAGGCTGGGCTCAGACTGGACTAGCTATAACTTTTTTTCCTGAAGCCCCTTTCATCGATTTTCTGTGACATAGAATTATATCATACCAAATATTGTATTTCTTACTTCAGGATGAATAAACGTATTATTATTATTATTATTATAATGACTTACTTAGTTTAAATATGTCCTATTCTAAGACGAATTCACATTCACGAAAACAAATCAACACAATCATTTATTCAATCAGTTAAATATTTCAGATGACGTATCTCCATTAAAGGGCGGTGGTCGTCGCGCAGCACGTGTTCGAATTTCATGTAAACAATGTATTATAAACGCGTTGTGTACTTCGTTTCATATCAACCAGGACGCGGCACGACGACCACGGACATTTAAAGAAATATTGAACAATGTTGCTAGGACATTAAATAATTGTTCTTAATTTCAAAGTGGTAATGGATTTGTAAATTTGTAGTTTTTGAATGGTATTAACAATTGTGGCTGGAGTTGGACAAGATAAATCATCCAGAGAATTAGTCAGCCCCTGTAAGATAGTGAATGTCCCATGGCTGCATCAAATATATTTGATCGTCTTTATCGATCAGCTACGTCAATGTAGAGAAGAAACACTTGTTCTCCTCAAAACAATTTTGTTAACGGCAGGATATTCCCAATGTACGTGCCAAATGAATCAGTATATGACCCCACAAATTATTACATTTTACAGAGTGTTTCCTAACTAAGAGTTTTACCATTTGTTTCAACATTAAATTGGGCTGAGATTCCAACTTGTTACTGGGTAATAATATATCGAGTATGAAAAAGATTGAATAATGAGTTATTGTAAACGTAAGAGTCTGTAACAATGACAAACATTTAAAGGTAGAAACAATATTACCAAGCAAGCTATTTTTTGTTTATTATTAGATTTTAATATTCGTCTATACAGCATGTCATATATTTGATGAGAAAGAAAATAACATATATTACTGATTAAAAATGATTGTTTCTTAAAAAATATACATTTCATAAATCTGCAATGCTTTTGAAAATTAATCTGAGACAGCTAATGAAGAAAAATGTTGCATTTCTAAAAAATTGTAATTAAAAACATCATCAAGAGTGCTACAGCTTTTATGTTTGCTTTCTTAGGCCTTGCCTTCAATAACATGGTCATCAACAATTGGCATCTACCAGTGTCTGCCTTGAATGGTTAATTATGATTTTAAAAGTGCATTGACTAAGAATTATCAACAACAAAATGTTGATATGGTTATCAGGAAAAAAATACAAATAATAACATTACATAAATTAAGACTCCCAAATTTTGGGGATTGTCATGCATTTATAAAGATCCCATACTACTTGTACCAATATATACACATATATATCCAATGTGTTCTTTATTTAAACACGAATTGCAGTGACAGCGACAGTTTGCAATGATACTAAGCAATTGTAATAGCACCAATTGTAATGGTAAATAGTAAATATTAGTTTATGTTCGTCCATATTTAAATATAATTTACTAATTACAAACTAAGGCTGCCTTGTTCACTTGAGAGAACACATCTCAAGATAATCAAAGAATGGATTATCTGACATAATAATTATGAATTTTCAATATAGAAACATTAATTTTAATAATTAATCTTTTTTCAGAGCTGACTTTTGTTGAGTTGAAGCCAAAATAGATCAGAAAGGGTTAAGAGTAAAATGAATTATTTTACAGTGTTTTTTTTGTGAATTATGAAAATTATTTATTAATATAACATTTCTCATATTTGAAGTAACTGATCGAAAGATATTGCTTCACAAATGTGTATACATGTAAATAATTTGAAAATGTTAATGGCAAATGTTTTTTTTCTTCAAGTTGCTTGAAAACAATTTTTATTTATGTTTCTAGCAATCCATGTTCAAACTTATCAATTAATATGCTACAATTGAAAGTGCTACAATTTTAAGTGATTTGTTCATCTTGTTTTACAACTTAGCCTTGCTAGATTGCATCATTGGACGAAGATATTTATAATAGGAGTCATGCACCTGTAAGACAAAAACAGAATATACTACATTAGAGAAAAGTATTGCATTGATATGTACATTTGAATAGTTAATTGCACCTCGTAGCCATGCTTGTTTCAAGTGTAACAGCCACACATAGACATTATAAAA